TGGAGGGTTTTTTCTTTGAGAATCCGACTGGAACCTTAGACGCACAAAACAGCGGGGTGTAGATCAACCACGGGAAAGTGACCGAAGTACCCATGTAGGGGCTTCTAGAGGCTTTCGATTTTCGGTTCGGTGTGTTGTTGGTAGGTGAGTTGATCAACCATTCACTTTTCAGGGTTGCCCCCTAATCTCATGCACTCAGTGAGACAAGTGGAATGTGGACGAGATCGCACTTTATGGGTTGAGGGCTGACCTCTTTGGGCAGATGGTAGCTGTCTGATGAAAGGTGAAGACTTCTCTCACCGTCAGCGAAAGCCCCGTATAGCTTGCTCCTACGTACATCCAGCGGACCTTTTATCGGTTAACTGCTCTACTCCGTGTTTATTTTCCTCATTGAGACCATTAGGGGTGAGTTTGGATAGTCATAGGAAGCCGGGAAGTGTGCGATCAGCTGGCTTCGTTAGAGTGAGCTGTGTCCGACCTCTGCCTATCGACCTTTAAGGTATGATCAGGTCTGCGGCCTTAAAAAGTCATCGTGTATAACTCTTGATGTCGTTTAGGCAATCAAGCCACCACATCAAAATGCAGTATCGTCGTGATGCCCAAGGGGCCACTGATATCAGCTTCTGTGTATCTCAGCCATTACGTTTTCCGGTTCACAACCCGAGGGACCCAGTTCCGAATCCCCCTGAGTGACAAACACCACGTACTTCTGGTGTCTCCAAATTGGGTATCAGAGCTCTTCAGTCCTCTTTAACTAACCAGGATAGTAAAGATCTACGAAGTTTTAAGAAACGCAAACATTCGGGATCGTTTTCGGCTCATGCTAATGCACAGGTCGGAACAATAGTACTACGCATTGGAATGATAAACAGCGAGAATGAAGCAGTACTAGTCATCATGTAGTGTGTGAAGGTAGGACTGGCATTTGAAGTAGCGGCCTGCAGATCTTCAGTGTTTTTGGGTGCCTGAGGGCAGTTGGGCAGTCCGCGATCGTGGGGAACACCAGTAAGCACTTAAGTGGTCCAATACATTCAGTAGCTTGACGTTTGGATAAATATCACCAAAAGTCCCTTTGCAATCAGTCTGTCTAGACATGTGGTTTGTTTTTAATGTTAGATGAAGTCTACTAATTGAAATCAAATGAAGTAAACCGTTTAACTCGTAATTGTTTTCCTATCACAAAATAGGTTTCCTGAATTGGTGCCAGAGTCTTGATCCCCTCAATCAATGCGGTTTTTATTGCAGTCTGTCGCTGTAGAATGGTGTCAAAAACGAGCCTAATGATTTATGATCATACTTCTCTCATCGTATTCTAAATTTTGTAAACGTTCTGTCTCTTGATCGGTATTGTTACTCTTCTCTGTTCCCAATGTAACACAGAGGAGCAATTGGACGAGTATTCTCGACCAATTTTGCTATTGCATTTTCCTCTCTACCGAAAGGATGAGACGGATTGTTCCCCGGACGCATGGGATGCAATGCCTACCAAAGATCGTTCCAAACCATATCGACCCAAATGGGATTGTCTCTCTGAAGAGGCCACAAATGAAGTGAGTTGCAATTTCGTTATCCACTTCTCTCCTTTCTTTCTAAAAATATTCATTTTTGCAAGATCTCTGCTCATATTTTGGCTCTAGTTGCTGTTTTTCTTTAGTCCACATAGGAGAACTAATCCACGCGATTCTTGAATAAAATGACGGAAAAATACCAAGTCGTGAATTTGATATTCAAGCCTTATTAAGGAGGTACACGGCGGTTTATGTATACAAGAATTCTTCTTTTCGCTTGGTATCTCCATTCTTATATCTGACCGTCTTGTAGTCACACACAAAAATGCAATGTAATTCACCCTAACTGATCCGCTAGATGAAGTGTTTTGTGTTTCTTTTGTGTTGTAATAATTGATCATCTCCGCCGAGGTTTTCTTGAAAAGAAACACAGATGTATATAACACACCACAAACCCTAAGCATCTCAATCTGTTACCTTCGAAATCTCATGTGAGTAGCCAACGATCAAAATTTATCCTCAGCTGCAACATAATTTCAAATGACAATTCGTCGTGTATATAGCAAATGAAGCGTGAACTGAAAAGCTCGGAAGCACTGGACAGCTGTTTCGACCTGGTTGGGTCTCATCAGCAGTGCGAATCCATCGACCGGCAGGGGATCGAACCCGGGACTTCATGGGCAGAACGCAAGCGTGCTACCCACTACGCCACCGGGCAGCTTCCGAGCTTTTCAGTTCACGCCTCATTTGCTATATACACGACAAATTGTCATTTGAAATTCAACCAAATCCTCCATTACCCACATGTAACAGAATTGCTCAACTCACTTCGTCTTTTGAACTAATGACACGAAAATCTGTTTAAAAAAGTTCTACTGAAGAACGTAAAACCGATTTCCTTCTGCAGTAAAGCAAGCTTTAGTGGCACATGTGGAACACACTGCATTCGGATTTAATTTTACGGCTTGTGTACCTCTGTAGCTTAACGGGCTACTCAGGATGGCTTTAATGGGTCCAAAAAATCTAATTCTTTCAAGAATGATTGAAGCGTGGTCGGAAGATGTCCGGTTCCTTGATACAGCAGGATACGAGTTCAACCAGAGTTGTTGTTTCGGTCATTAAAATTGAGGGAGAAATAATGCTCTCAGCAAATAAGTTTTCACTGTGATCAGGTTCTTATCAAAACTAATAGCTTTGGTTAAAAACCCTGATCGTTTTCCTACGCGTTGGTGAGGCACTCGGGTAAAATGTGCCCATTAAGCCCCAATGAAAAGGAAACTAAAACGAATTCCGTAACGCATCGCTCGTCTTGTAGGACTCTTAGGGCCGTCTTGTACCACCGAACTGCTACTCAGATATACCAACGCTTATTAAGATCTTAGTTTCTTATCCCCGCGTAGCATTCCCTCCGGCAAGTTGTTTGCCACCCGTCAAAGCTCGCTGCTAAGTAGCGTAAGGAGTATGGAATTGAAAGATTTATGGCTTTTCAGGCTGCATCAACCTCTAAATCTTGTGAGCATTTCATGTTTCAACTCCCATACAACTTGATCAACAAACTTGTCATCATGTACACAATCGAATTAACAATGATTGATGTCTGCGTAACAGAGGCAATATACAAGTTGTATAAGTCACTTAAGTACTCCGGGTTTGCGTTCCAGATACTTTCTTTGCGCACCAGGAAACAATAAGATTCCTTCACTAAGTTCGGATACAATAAGCATTGTAACGATGCACAAAGTAGAAGCCTTACCTACGGATTGAATTGTCGTCGACCGTCTTTTATGTGCCCTGCAGCCGCAGCGCTCAGTCAGTATTCGGAAGAGAAACGACAAAAGGTATCTGTTCACCGGTACACGCTCTCACGAACTTCCGATTCGATGCCCAAAAAGATGAGTTTTACACAAAGTCACCGACTGAGCCGAAGTTCCGGTATACTTGTGTTCGGAGGTGGTTTCCTCTCGCAGACCGAGAGCATCAGATACCTAGAGGGTCTTCTTTCCCTGCCCCCTCACGGATCAGATAGCAGCGATCAACTGCCTGAGTTCTGTGCAGATCAACGGTTGTTTTTCTTAATTCCAACACTACCCTCAATGAACGACAGCATAATGTTCCAGTTCAACGGATACATGGACCTGAATCGACCAAACAACAATAAGCTTCCGTTGGCGTTGTTCTGTGCCAAATTACAGGTCCTCTTGAATCACCTGTGTTCAGTGCGGTCGCGCATGAGTCTCGATGCAATTACGCCTCGACTCAGAGTTGTTGCATCATGGAGACAGATTAGATTTCCAATTCGTTTGGCAGTGCGCTTTGAATGTTATCCGCCCCTTTAGCCTTTCCAATTTACTGAATCTCTCAGCAATCAGTGGTCCCGATAGAAATGAAGCGAAAGATCCCAATCAATCACAATTGAGATAAGAATTGATGACGTCTGTAACGTACACTCATAGAGAATTTGGATATGGAAGCAGTCAAATACTCCCAGCTAATGTGAAATATTCTCGTGCTTGACAAAGGTGTGGGTAGTGTCTGTTCATGGGCACAATCCCTACATTTAAATGACATTAAAAATATCCGTTAACTTCACTGTGGAACGGATAGCCCAAGCGTTGCATCCTCATTGCACACCGAGCAGTCAATCATACCTGTGGGGGATGGATTTGAACCGTGTGACTTTAAGCGTGCTATCGAAAGCACATGAATAATGCTGTATCATAACGGTAATCTTTTTATTGAATAAAGTTGTACAATCAAATTTTAGTGGCAATTGCGACTGCAGCCTCTTGGTGGCTTTCTGGATGCACAACGAAGAGTGAAGTTGGGTGAAGATGGTGGGATTTGACCTTATGACCTTTGGGTCAATATGATAGTGACCTTAATCACCAACGCACACGTATTCGTGGTCAGACCTAACGAATTGAGCTTATGGCTAGTCGGATAATAGCCATATTTCGCTTATAGCTTATAGGACAAGGGTTGTTATTATTTGGATTTATTGAAGGACAGCTTTAAACGAATTTTTCAAAGGACAATTAACACCTGTGTTAAATAAAACTTTCCTTTTGCATGACAGGAATAATTTTTTGTTACCGGGTGACGAATAATTCGGTTTTGACTGTTTCTTGTGCAGCGGACTTAATTCAGACAGTTTCACTCGTCCCACTGAGGTTTTGCTTTTCTCAACCCTAAAATGCATTGTCTGTGACCGAAATGTTCTTTCGCCTACTTTTTCCTCTTCGCAAAGCTACTACGCCAACTTCGACCACGACTGGTGCTTTCCGGTCACTCACACTACTCTTGTGTCCGTCACCATCGGATTCCAGACGAACCGAACACCTTGGTTCCTGAGTGGACCGTGGCCAGTTTCTCGTGGAGGAATTTACCCAACCCTAGTTTTCTTATGGTATGTTTTCCTGTTTATCCGACGCAACCGTCTTTCAATCAACGAGGATGATGGGTGGGGAATTATTTGGTTGTTCCATTGGTTTAGTAGCTGGAGTCATGCCCTCATTTGGTCTAGCCAACTCAACCATAGGTTATTGTATCACGAAATCTTACGTTCTCCGTATCTTGGCTCATGATCAAACATCGTTTATATTTTTTCTAAAGTTCGCAGTCGTTAATCATGCAGTTGATATCATATTTGTCACGGTTGTCCGAGGCCTTGCAGAAAACTATACTATTAACATACTAATAGAGTTCATTACACTGGTCACCCCGATACTGAGAATCTACTCGTACCGGGAAATATATGAAAATTATTATCTATCTCATCCACGTTACTGATGCAAGAAGGCCTATTGCGAATGAAACCATCTGTGAGATTGATTGCTTGTCAGCCCTAACCCTATATTCTCGCTGAGCACATCAACTTTAGGGTGGTGGTGGTGCAGTGGTTTGGTCGTTATCACAGGATTGTTTTTGACCCTATGGTCCGAGGTTAGAGCCCCACCACCCAACTTTGGTGATAGGCGGCTTTGTTGTCGTCCGGTTCAATGCCACGCCTAACCCATCGGGACCTTACGTGGTTCGCCACTCTCAGTCTCGGGGCTTAGGTTACCGGTTTCCATCACTGAATAACAGGTCCTCGTGACTGTGGGGTTTACCCCGTCTGCTGTTTATCACATGAAAATGTAATAAAAATACTTGCCAATTTTGTTCCCTTCCATACAACCCAATTAACGGTGTGTACACTGGTCTGTGCCCATTAACCCTTTCATCGAGGCAGAAATTCTTAGAACACACCAGTGCTCCCGCTCCGTCAAGCTACCTCCGAAAACGTTCCACTGCGAAAGAGTGAAACGAATGAAGACGCTTTACAGGTAGTTTCAAATGGGAACAAAAAGCATTTCGCTCTGATTGGCGATAATCGATTTTAGTTGCCATTCTTGAGAAGTTGGAATTTACGGACTTCATTCCGTATGCCTTAGACATCTTGGCATCAGTCATTCTTCACAGGTCGTCCTTAAAACCAAGTAAACAATGTAGGCCGGTTGTCATCGAATAAGTCAAATGCACACCATTCGATGTGGATCATTATAAAATCGATCACAGCCCCATCGTCGTGCTATTCGGTGTCCGACAATTGACACAACTGTCCGAGGATCTTGTACAGGGTGTACTTTGTTCAGGTTATCCAGTCAAATAGCAACTATTAGTTAAGACTCATTACGATCATCAGTGTAGAGTTCTGCGTAGCCTGAAACGCGCTGGTACACTCCGTTTCCGATGTTCGGTGTTTACAACCATTACCTATGCATTTTCATGCACCGGTCTTGGTTGCTGTCATTTGGTCACCTATTTGGATAAAGGAGCAGAATGAATATTGGAATGCTGAAAGCAGAATAAAAGGAAAGATAGAGAATTCATATAGACTGTGGTTGTAAGAATGTTGAGTAGATGCATCAGGGCCACTTTGCGATACTCAGCCATATCACTCAGTGTCTTTAACCATCGGTTATCATGATTTTGGGATCCCCATCCAGGGCGCCCAAAGAGACCTATGTAACCCGGTCTTCTGACATGGGTTTTCATACCATCATATCAGGTCTTAGTTTGACCGCCGTTGACCTTTTCCCAACCGCTTCTTGCCTCGGTGTACCGTGGCAACCTATCTGTTGACGTGCGCCACACAAGTCCCAACCAGCGTAATCTACGGAGGTCGACCTCTTGCTCCAGTGAACGATCGCGAATACTTAAAGCTCTACGTCTAACCTCACGATTGCTTGTCCGTTTACCCCACAAAACTCGAGCAATGTGACGTTTGTCATTAATTTTTAAAGTAAAAAAACAGCAATCTATTTCTATCCTGTGCCCGTAATGGCCGCGTCTCTACACCGTATAGCAAAAAGCTGTTACACTACCGCATGCGCACACAATTTCCCTTCAATTCATGCTCGCGCATGTGCATCTCTGCTCTCGCTGCAACGTCGATAGCAATAAAATGTCCTGGGGACAATCTAGTTTGGTGTGGATCNCAATTCTGTTCCAAAGCTTCATTCGACCTACACAGAAATCAACGCGAATTATAGGTGATTTTTCACTAACGATGTCTGCAGCAGTGAGGCACAGAGATCATTTTGAGCCGTTTGGGAATCTGACTATTTGGTGTACCAGAATTCCTGATACACCTGCATATATATGCCACAGGTCTGACTCCCAGCTGTGTGCCGAACAAAATCAGTTTCAGTTTTCACAACCGTTAACTATGCACTTTCGTGCGCCGGTTTTGTTTGCTATCTTTCGGCTGCCCATTTGGATAAACAATAGGAAGAAAACAGGAAGGTTGAGAGTAGGATCGAAGAGAAAATTGAGTTCTGTGAACTAATAAAGCAGAGAAATTCAGAAGACGCACGAACGCCATTGTTTACGACACCTAGCCATATCACTCAGTGTCTCTAACCATCGGGTACGACCATCCCGTGGTCCACAGCCAGGGAGCCTAACAGGACCTATGTGATCTAAACTCCTGGTCAGGGTTTTCATACCCTCACGCCAGCTCTTAGCTTGACCACCCTTGGCTTTTTATTCCATCCACTATCTGCCTCGGCAAACATCACTCACTGTGGCAACCTATCTGGTGACATGCGTAACACATGCCCCAACCAACGCAATCTATGGAGGTCGACCACTTGCTCCAGTGGGCGACCGCGATTGCCTAAAACTTTGCGCCCGACCTCAACATTGCTCGTCCAGCTGCCCCATAAGATTCGTGGAATGCTGCGTAAACAGCGATTTTCAAATACCTACAGTCTATTTTTATCCTATTTCCGTAATGGCCAAGTCTGCACCGTAAAGCAGATCTGGCCGAACTGCTGCAGCATATACTCGACCCTTCATAGGCAACCGGATATCGCGACGGCACCACAGATGTCTCAATTTGGCGAACGCCAATCGAGCCTTCTGTATGCGAGCTGACACTTCATCCGTGATGCGTCCACCGGGTGAGATGTAGCTGCCGAAATAACAAAACTTCTCCGCTCGCTTTATTATTTCCTCAGTTAGAGTGAGACTGGGTGCTGGACCAACTCAGTCTTGAAGTAACATTTTACACTTTGAAGGTATAAACCGCATACCGAACCTGGTTACACTTGCACTCAAACTATCCAGAAAGGCTTGTAACTTGCTTCGCTCAGTAGCACAATGTCGTCTGCATACTCTAGATCAGGCAGCGTGCCACCTGGGAGTAAATCGATGCCACTATCCTCGCACGAGGTTAGGGCTGTTTCCATAATCCGAAACCAAGGTAACTAGAAGAGGAAAACCCTGTCGATCACCACTTTCTGTAGGGAACTCGGGCGAAAGCGTGCCGTAAGCTCGGAATATTGAAATAAGCTTCTCGGGCACATCTTTCAGAGAATGGCAGCGCCAGAGTTTAGAGCGGTCGACTGAGTCGAAAGCCGCTTTAAGATCCAGGAAAATGGAGGTGGTGGGTCTACGAAAAGAATGCCGGTGCTCCAGAGTTTTGCGAAGAGTAAAGATGTGGTGAATACAACCTCGACCGGATCTACAATCAGCTTGGTTCTCACGCGTGCACTCTTTACGTGCGGCAGACAATCGACGGAGTATGATGCCAGCGAGAGGTCTAGATGTTGATTAATGTCAATGTTGATTAAACGAATTCCTCTGTGGTTTTCACAAGAGGATCTGTCACCTTTCTTGTAAATTGGTATGATGGCCGATTCACACTATTCAGCTGAAACGTGTTCCCTCTTCCACTCTGAGCCTAGGAGTTTTGTTAACTTCGAAACCAGTGTTAAAGCCTCCATCCTTAAAAACGGATGGAGAGAGCCCATCTGGGCTGGAGGCCTTATGCCTTTTGAGATAGCTTATTTCCCTGGAAACCTCCATTTCAGATTGAGGACTGGCATCGACTGGCAGGATTTGCGCAGTCGCGGTGGAGGGTGATGGTTCAGAACAAATTACGGTGCAATATTCAGTATGAAATGAAAAGTTTCCACGCCTTGCTCGTGGGCGCTATACTGTTAGGTTGCCCAAAACAAAGCAGGTGAATTTCCTTGGGAAGTTCTCAACGGGAACCGTTGACCAACCAAATTCTGAACCGCAAAGCAGCAGGTCGATGTGAAAACCGCAATCCATTTCAGGGGGCGATGTCCCATTCATTGGATTATACGTCCATTTGACGGGGTTGAAAATACAAGATGCCCAATCCAACCAGTGACCGCTGCCACAACCAGGAAGGCGTGTTGGTTTGTTTCTTACGCCTCTTGGTTTGTTTGGAATCAGGGTTTTAGTGAACCCCTAGGTGTAATTCCTGTAGTCCATCAACCCTTTTATAGTTCTAAATGTTGGCTTTTCCTCCTTTCATTCATACCGCAGTCACGAGAAGGCAGTGAATAGGGATTCATCGGCAGGGGCTGCTTTAGACGCTTGGTCCTATAGGAGCATTTCGAAAGGTTCAAGGATTGCCAGTCACCACTGAGGTTTTCAAAAGCTTATCATTGAAACGTCATGTAGTTAGTGTTGAGCACGGTGAATACATCGCGGTCTTCAAACCGGGTGTATTTCTCAGAACCAGTAACTAAAGCCAGTGGTAGTCATGTGTGCCAAATAAGGTTTTGTTCTGTTTTGAGCGCGCATTCATTCTAACCGGTCCCCTAATGACAGTTCCATTGATGAACTATCAATGTATGTTGTGACTACTCATGAGTAATCTCGATCGGAAATGCATATTAAAGCGACCGCTGCTCACGCAGCTGCCAAGGGTGCTCTTTTACAAACTAGCCATTTTCTATTTTCAGCTTTTGGGGCTGTTGGATAATGTTTTGTTTACTGCCTTCGTTTATGCATCTCCGGTTCTCTGTTTTCGTCTACCTA